TCGAATATATGTATATACACACTGACCATGGTTTCAACATCAATAATCAAGCAAACTAATGTAGTATAAAGTGTATTTAAATTATTAAGAATTCGACAAATTAATGTACACGAAAATCTAAAGCATATGATTTTTAATAGTTATATTTTATAAAATAAAATTTGTGTAAGATGCAAATGTATTCATGTTTTTAGATATGGAGTATAGTATAGTATAAGAAGTACCGTAAGTTAAATTACACATTGATGGTTGTCCATCATATAAATTATGGAGTATGATTATTCAATTATTCGTTTAGGATTCGTTAACTATTCGAATATTAATAAATACATATTCAGATCTTATTTTGAATTCGTCTTGTATCTGGTATCGAATTTGTATTCAAAAAATTTAAACAAATACAAATTCAAATATCTTGGTATTCGCTTCGGTTCGTTTACACCCCTATATGAAAGCAATATTAAGGCTTAAAAAGTTATATTTTCATATTCTAAAAGAGTTGTTTTAGAATAAAGAATTATACTCAACTTAGTTTTTAAAACCATAAATACTTTTATACTTAAAAAACTCTCTTTTAAACCTAAAAATGTTATAATATACACAAGAGTGAGTTTATGACAAAATTGGTAGCGGTGAAAAGATGTTAAATATTTCAAAGAAAATGTTTAAATATATAAATGATTAACTATGGTCAAAGATTTTCTTAATTTAAAATTTTTTATATATTTATGAATTGTAATACTACAAAACTTTTAAATTTTGTAATAGTTTTGAATTTAATTTAAATAAAATTTAAATTCATTAACACCAATTCTAATCAGATAAAATCATACTAAATCAGATCAGATAAGATTCGATCAGAGAAGACCTAATCAGATGAGATTTAATCAAATCAGAACTTCAAAAATATAAAGATTCAATCAGATCAGGCGTACAATACACCCTCACCACATGGCCTATTTGAGTTAATTTGGGAATGATTTTTTTCGTGTGACTTGATATTAATTTACACAAAAGAGAATATTGTAATCAAAATACAACCATTCTACAGTTACACTAAAAAATGTACGACAAAGTTCCACCAAAGATATACACAAATATTTTGATGGTTTACACTAACAAAAAATATTGGTGTGTTAACAAATATTTACACTAACATTTTGTGTATGTATAAACTATCACCCTTATATTACACTAAAACAAAATGTTAATACAAACTAACTATATACAAATTGGAATACAATTCTATCCATAATTCTAGAAAACTACCCCATAGTTTACAAGTTGCTAACAACTAAGAAGAAATTGACAACAAAATTTTAAATGAGGAATTATTCATTGTTTTGTCAATAATAGAAACTACCCCAGATAGTTATCAAGTTCCAAACAAGAAAATGATAAGAACAAAATTTTAAAATAAAGAATTTGTAGGGCTTCAAAAAAAGAAACCCTTCCAAAAATTCTCAAAGGCTTCGGACAAAGCCAAGCCAAAGAGGGGGTTTGGAAATAGTTTTCAACCAGCAATAGACGCGCCTCGGTTATTACCTCACTAGCTGCGTCATTGCCCCAAGCTCAAAGATGGTTTTTAATGACCATCCGCCTCTCTGTTTTATAATGGCTTTGCCCCCTTCCCTTTACGCTATCTAACCAGTGTGGGATTATTACCCACTCCATCCATCAGTTTATTCCCAAAATTGACCCAAATCCTCAGAGAAAACTGAAAACTTGATTCTCTTCTTCCCCTCCCTCCGTTCTTGAATGCTCTTTGAGCGAATTATTATATTGCTGTTATTTTGTTTATTATTTTATGGGTGAATGATTCAATTCATTACTGGAGTTGCAAGAATCCCTGATTTTCACCCGTAGAGATTGTTGCAGAAGAAGAAAGAAAAGAGTAATGGAAGGGGGTGGGGCAGATGAGAGTGTCAGTGGCCTCACTAGTGAAGTGGAGAAGGGAGTTTTCAGTACTACTTGGACAGATCTGTTCCTTATACGGCTGAGAGGTGGATGGGAACCCTAGCTGCTGCGTCCATTATTGTGTCTGTGGCTTTCATATTTTATCCTATGGTGTTGGAACCTATCTCTCGAATCTGCTGATTGGGTTCGCCGTCTCCCCGAGTTCCTGCTGTGGTGAGTCCATTCTTGATCATGTTTCAGTTTTATATTATGAGAAAGCTTCCAAATTTATTGTGTTTTTGCTTCACTAGGGTTAGTTTCACTTGTTAGATTACTTTTTTCCAAACACATTTTCTATCATACTCTCTAAGGGTATGTTTGGATCATGGGAAAGGTATGTTTGGATCATGGGAAAGGTCAGGGAAATGGTAAAAGAAAATGCCAAGGAAGGCTATTTTCTCATGTTTGGGTTTATCTCTGATTACATGAAAGAGCATAAGAATAATTGATTTTTCCAAAGTTGGGCTTTTGTAAAGAGATGAGAGCAAAAAGATTGAATCCAATCGATTAGTTTGTTCAACTCAAGAGCTTATACCATGATAGTTCTTCCACTTCGTGTCTCAAACGGTTTTTCGCTCTGATACCATGATAGAATTTGGGATGGGTATGGACAACTGGATTGGGTAATAAGACACTTGGGTTGAACCACATTAAAAGATTGAATCCAATCGATTAGTTAGTTCAACTCAAGAGCTTATATACCGATCAATTTCCTCACACTTTTCCGATGTGGGATGCTCTTTAACAGTAGTCTTGCATGGGGGAGATTCTACCTAAAGTACTTACAAATTTGTAAATGATGTGTTTCTAGTAGCCATATGTTGTCTATGCCATGCCGATTGCTATATGGTTCTTATGATGCTTACTGCTAATGAAATACAGATTTGTGGATATGGTTCCTATAGAGTAGTCTAATGGATTGGGATGTTCAAACTGGACTTGTTCTTACCTAAATAAGATGGTGTCCGTTTTTCAAAATATTATTTGCTTATATGCTCTTCCTTTTCTATGCTACAATTTCAGGTATGCAACCACAAAGGCATTCGTTGTAGCGTTTTTCATGACCTTCTGTCCCGTATTTGACGTTAATATTGCTTTGTTATTGGATTGTACTTTTCGTTCTCACCATGAAACGACAGATAACGCACATGATCAAGTACAAGTATGTGCCCTTTGGCTATGGAAAACTGGTGAGATGTCTTGTTTCCATCAAGGGTTAATAGATTTTTCTTTGCTGTGTTCTTTTTTATTTTTCCTTTTCTTTCTCATTCCCTTTTTGTTGAACTGAATGCCTAATGAAGCAGTGTTGAATTATGACAGAGATACACTCGGAAGAAATCTGCTGCAAGCAATGGTGGCTCATCAAGGGATTGAAATTTGCCGAAGAACACACCTTGTGTTTTTTTCCTGTTTCCTTTGTTTTTTTTTGCAAATCCACCCCACTCGTGCAAAAGAAATAAGTTGTGGAATGAAATTGAGATTCCAAGCACTTCTTACAGTGGAAGGACTTGCCACTACATTGCCATTGCCAGTCTAGGAGCCAGACAAAACTACGGCGGTGCACTACTTCGTCTAAGGCGTATCCTGGTGCACTAACACAATAGCACTGAGTTTTTTTTGGAGTTCAAGAGAATGAAAGCACCAATTGATACGATAATTTATCAGGTATATGGGAAAGATTGAGAAATTTGAGGAAAAAGATGAAGAATTGAGAGAAGAACTAGATATGAGAAGAGATGGAGATGAGGGAGAAGAGAAGGTGCGGAATGGCTAGAGAAGAGGGGGAGAGATTAGGGTTTGGGAGTGAATATTATTGTTCTTCATTGATGATCAATCTAAAGAGAGGTTACAACTCATTATATAGATGGAGATGGTAAACGCTAACCCTAGCAAAAACCTAATTCCTAAGCCTATCGGTTCAATAAAAGCGTCGAGGTAAAAAAACTGAAAAGAAACTCTTGAAGGAGTGTTATAATTCCACTCAATAATAAAAAAATAAATATAAATAATTAAACTATTAAAATATATAATTAACTGAATAAAATAAATTATTTAGTTATTCCTTCTGTATCATGAGCAGCAGCAATTGATCTATGGGGGATAGCAACTACTTGAAGAAGACAATAATGGAAAGACCACCTTGGCTGACTACAACATTCACATGGCTGACCACCTTGGGGCAATGCTCATTTGTAAACAAGTTCATTTGATCATTAAATTTTTTCAAATGTCTAGGTGTATGATTGCAATTCTAAAATTCTTCTTTGAAATCTCATTTGTGAAAAAACAAAGACTACAATTTCTAATTAAATTAATACCCCCTACAATGTTTCAAAATCTTAAATGTAATTTGAATTCTTGATTTTCAATTCCAAATTTGATTTTCTTTTAATTTCAATTTATATACGTGCGTGTATAGATTTGTTATTGAACTTTGTTGGAAACTAGAATAATTTGGCTGAAATCTTGATTTTTTGGAATCTCAAGCATGTAATTTAAGTTAAATTTGAACTTGAAATGCAAATCTAAATTCCCAAATAAGCCAACAATAAATTATGGAGTATCAAAGATAATCCCTTGTATAGAGTTGTGCTTCGATAATTCTAAATTCCAAATATGAAGTACTTCTATTGTCCCACAAAACATTTCAATTTTCCCATCGTATCTATCTCATAAAACACTTCAATTTCTCAAAAATTGACCAAAAACCCCTTTTTGACCCTAATTCCTCATATTTCATCCATCACAACTCATTTTACTTTTTTCATTTTTTAATTACACCTTTCCATTCTGCCCTAAAAAAATTTTTTTTCCACTATTCTTAACTACTTATTGATGTAAAACATCATTTTTAAAAATCCCTTAGGGGCATTTGTGGAAGGTCAAACACCAAAATACACGTTCCTTAAATTTCCAAAAGTCAAAAACGGAAAACTTTTATAGGACGGAGGAAGAAAACTTTCTCACATTTTTTATGAGCTGACAAGTGTTTTTTTCTCACAAAAAACTCAATTATTTTATGATATTTATAATTAAGATCTATAAAAGACCTAAATCATTTCTTCTTCTTCTTCTCCAAAAAAAAGTGACCTACATAAACTAATAGCGGCAGTTACCGTCCGAAAAAACAGACACAAAAATCATATACACCCATTTAAACAAAAGCATCTTACAATACAAGTCAGTCACATAGCATACACATAATCTGACTAAACACAAAGTACAGATACTTGATGACCATTTTATATTTCCAGGGGAAGAAGGCATTCACCATCTCATATCCCTAGAGTTCCCAAAATGCCCCCACCAACATGCATCATTTCTTCGAATTTCCAGGGGGGTAGAATTGGAGGCTGAGTTGTTGTTGAGGAGTCTTCTTAGCTATATAAATATATATATATATATATATATATATATATATATATATATATATATATATATATAGGATTTGTTGAGTAGACCTTATTTTCTGTGTTTTTCATGCTTTATTGTGTATAATGGTGGAGAAAGAGCTGTTTTAGGACCCCCAAAATAGTCCTAATATTTGCCTTTGGAGGAGAAGAATCTGCTGAAGCCACGGGAGTTCTTCTCTGGGGATTGGCCGTAAGAAATGGTTGACTTGGTGGGCCTGTGGGACTTTGAGCTGATGGGCGACCTTAATGGGTTAACCGATTCCGTGTCCGAGGGACTAAACGGGGCATCACACATGTCCACATGAGACTCATGATGACCCAACTTCTGATCGGGGTCCTGAAAGCCCATCATTGATGGATCCTCATTCAGTCTGTTGTCCTCTTTGTTAGGGTGGTGGGGCCCTATGAGCTCGGCTGCCTGAGGAGGCCGCAAACCCTTCAGCTGTTTCCCTAAAAGAAATATTGTTTCTTGACATTCTGCCAGTTTTGCAGCTGCCTCTGCCAACTCTTTTTCCTGTAATTAAAGGAGACATCCCATTTCATTTACAAAATGAGAAAAAGCTGTTAAAGAATGGGTCAGATTATATGAATGGATGATGAATGAATATTATTTTTTAAATGAATGTTTAATAATGGATCATAATTCTTTAACATGGTGTCTTGTGGATGGGGATGATGAACAAATGGGTTTTATGCTTTAGTGAATCGTCAAGTATGAGATCCATATACATAATTTGCTAGGAGGAGGCTCACCTGAGTTGTCTTTGCATCAATCTCAGCTTTTAAACTTTCGATCCTGATTGAAACACATCAAGGATAAATGAGAAAATCATAAAGATATATCCTACATATAGAAAAAAATGCATTGCAAGCCTTGTGGAATAAACAAAGAATATAAAAAAATCAGATACTCACCTTCCCATTTGATCTTGAAGATCCATGCATCTGGCGAGAGCATCCTGATGTCCCTTCTTTTCTTCTTCAAGTTCAACTTCCAGAGTTTCATTCTTTGCCTGAAGAGCATTGACTTCAGTTTGTAACTTTTCGGCGCGTGTTTCAAGAGATTTGTATGACTCGGCCATACATTTAAGTTGTGTCTCTGACAACCCATTTGATCTCTGAGCAGATATTAACTGCGACTTAGTCTCTGCCAGTAACTGCTCTGTCTCGGCCAATTGTGCTCTCGTGCTTTCTAGACTCTCAGTTATTCTGCCTAAGTCAACTTCCAGATTTTCTTTCTCCGATTTCAATTGATCAAACTCCTCAGATGAGCATTTCCATGATGCAGCAGTTGACTCGGATGTAGGAACTAGACTGCTATTATGAGGAATGTCAGGATCAGATGCAGAATCTGAGTATCCATCTTCCATGTTCGGCTGAATTTTGTTCTCTGGTAAAGCTACTTTGTCAATGCAATCAGCAGAACTCATCTCTGTTTCAGAATTTTTATAGCCCAAAATGGTGAACTGCAGTTCGCTCGCTTTGCTCAGCACAACCGACAAGTCAAAAACGAATTTTACAAGGCTTACTCTGCTGTTTAAAACATCCTTATATGTTGCAGAGAAGCCATCCAATTCTTCAGAGAGTCCATTCCCAGAGGTAGATATGCTGCTCTGCAAAGCCTTTGTTTCTGTGCCGATGAACATTAAAAACTCATGAATCTGATAGATAGCATCTGCCAATTCTTGGCTGATATTTTGCACATCATCAGAGCTCCCACTTCTATCATGATGAGAAACTGAAACACTATTTTCTGCAGATACAGCATGAACCTCAACACAAGGCTCAGATTTAGTTGAAGGATCGGGAGACTGCAAAGTCTCAAAACCATATGTAGTTGGATGATGATGATCCAATGTCTCAGACATTTCTTGCAGAACACATCTAAGATCGTCCAAGACCTTTTTCGTGTCAGCTTCTTTAGTCACTGACTCAAATACCTTGGAAATTTTTGACTGCAGTGTAGTGAAAGGTGAAGAACCCTCAGAGACTTCCATGCAAGAAAATGGCTGATTTTCTGGGGATGAGATGTTAATGTTTCTGAATTCAGCTATATTTTTCAAATCATCTGGTGAGCTTGAAACTCCTCCATTGGTGTCATTTGAAAGATAAGCTAATTTCTCCATCTCCAAGAAGTCATCCATAAGCTCCAAATGACTTGCACTATCGGACCTGCATGGACTTTCAAAGTTATTACTATCCTTCTTGATATGGGAGAGCTCTGGCATAACTGATGTAGCCCAGGACCCAGAACAACTTATTGTATCATCGTTGCCATCCTCAGACATGGAGGTCAAGCTTGGGAGGTTAATACTTGCATTATGGTAAAAGGAACCTCCTCCCATATTCTTTGAAGGACTCCTGTGATCATTGCCATTTGCTTGCAGAAGTGCTTCTAAACTTTGAAGTTTGCTTACAGTCTTTGCACAAGAGCTCCTAGACGCTTGCAGTTCACTGTTACGTTTTGCCAAAGCTTCTTTCAGCAACTTTGTTTCCTCTTCCATTCCCAAAAGGCGCTCTGTTAAATGTTCATTCTCTTTTTGGAACTTCTGCATGTTGTCAAATGAATAATCAGGAGTGGGGGAATAGTGTGGGCTGTTGGGAGGCTTTCCGGGAGACTTCCTCGACCTGGTTTCTTCATAATCACGGCCTAAACTCTCAACCTCAAGCTTCATTTGAGCAAGTGCTGCAGGACCAGGCAATCGCTTTCGTACAAGACTGCGCAATCTTTGGCACTCTGCTTCAAGCTTGGCAATTTTTTTCACTCCTTCCAAATGCTGTTTATTGGCTACTTCTGCAGATCGTGCACACATGTTTTTCTCCTCATTCCGAATTTCCAGCTCCTTAGCAACTACATGGAGTTCATATTTAAGAGAATTAATCTCCTTTTCACAAGACTCGATATTGCTCTTATGACGTTCTATCTCTGCTTCAGCTCGTGATTTTTCTTCACTGAGCTTAACCAGCATGTTAGAGCGCTCTTGCAGAGATCTTGAAAGTGCAGAGTTGTCAGCAGCAGATCTGAGTAACTCTTGCTCCAAGTTAGATATCTTTGCTTCAAGTTCAAGTCTCATCTTGTCAAACTGTTTTGTTCTATTAAGAACCACCTCGTGCAGTTTTTGTTCATGCTCTTCCTTTAAATTCCGTATCTGCCTCATGCATTCCTTTAGAGCACCATCCAAATGAGATGCACGATCTTCAGCCGTGAGTTTTAATATGGTGACGGATTCCAGATGATTTTTCAATGTTGCTGCTTCTGACTCAGCTTTTTCCCAACCTGTTTCACAAGAGGGGGTTATTGGAGTTCTAAAATGGGCTTGGACAAAACCACTTAAGGAAACAATGACACAAGTGCATATAATACTATCCAACCTGAGACAGCTTCTTCGGCAACTTTAGCATGTTGTTTCACCAGGTTGTCCTTAACAGTCATTTCATCTTCTGCTGCGGAGAGTTTATCATTTAACTCCTTAACCTCCTCCTCAAACATTCTAACATGTTCTTCATATGATTTTACTTGATCCTCCAGCCCCGTAAGATGTGAATACGACTCCACAGAAATTTGCACATATTTTGGTTTCTTATAGTTTTCCTGCTTTGCCGGAACATCAAAGATACAAACAAGAAACACTTGATGAACTTAGATCATTAAAAAAACAGTGGCGTGTTCCTATAAAGTTCAGCCTAATGCCAACTATTATATGTTGCTACGTATCACACATGCTCTAATAGACAGACATAAGAGTAAGACAATAAAGATAAAGCATACATCGCCAGCTCATTGAAGAGATATATTTAGATGAAAGGTGAATTTATTAAAATCCAAATGCTAAATTTATCAAATCAAAGAGAACTCAAAGAAATCAAAGAAATGTGCTCTTGAAGTGAACATCCACACCTCATTGCCCTGAGAGGCATTTGAAACTGTAGCTGCCGTAGTCGATTCAACTGAAGCTGAAGCTGTAGGAATTTTCTCAGCTGCAGCCTTTTCGGATGATTTCTTCTTCCATGGCCAACTCTTCCGATCCATTATAACCTGTCAAGGTATAACAATATTATCAACTGAGTGGTGGCTGGGGATTTGAGTTTATAAAATACCACTAGAACAGAACAGTAAAAACACCTTATTTACATGACACCATTTAAATATCTATGTACAGAAACATTTCAGAAGAGAATAAATTCATAAATAAGAACTTCTACGCAGTAAATTGGTATAGCAGAACATAGCATATGCAAGTAAAGGACAGGAAAGGCCGGGGCCTTTGGGACCTTGCTATACACTGTACTGGCCACACTCTTTTTTGTTTTTAATTAGAAAAAAGTCTTTTTTTGTTAGAGGAATGACAGGTGCGTTACCCACTTTGAGTTAGTGGTCTTTGCCAATGCCACTAGACAACAATGCCTTCGGCTGTTTGGCGTATAGAGAAAAATAGTTCAAAGGATTTAAAACCAAAGCAAACAGGAGAAAAACCAATAAATAACCCTAAGAAACAACTACCCCAGTAAAATCCCACAAAAAATAGGGTATGAAAAGGCGGTGACGCACCGTGTATGCAAACCTTACCCCTACCTACTATGAAGTAGAAATGTTGTTTTCAAGAGACCCGAGTTTAAAGACATGATCCTAAGAAATCTCAGCAAAATTCTTGCTACAGGGAAGTGAATACAAGAATCAAGAGACATAATCACTGTAATCAAACAATTACAGCGTATCTTGTCAAGACTCGAGATGAAGAGACGATAGGAAAAACCAACGCTTGAAAAATATTCAAATTTTAAAAATAGACAGTCACTTAGTGCACATAAAAAACCACGCATACCATGACATAAAACTTAAGATGAACCACTCCCTATAACATTATTTCCATTTCAAGGAATACTAGACCCACAACATTAACAAACCATGATCTATTTCCAGATTTTATTCATTTAATTTTCAATATTACCATAAGAAAAAAACAGAAAACTAGAATCTAAAGCACAAGCATAAGAAGCCTCCATCCATGAAAGTAGTGCAGTCCTCCCCAACGAAAAGATCCCAAAATCCAAAAAAAACAAAACAAAAAAAATCCAACACGAGATCGCTTGAATTCTATCAATGAAGAATTACAAACCTAGCTTCTTTTTTCTTTCTTCCCCTTTGAGAAACAGAGTCAAAGCTCAATAAATGTGCTCCACACGATTCTAAAACAAAGACAAAAGCATGGTGGGATTGGTAGAAGTTGAGTAAACACTTAAAAGTCTAAGCTGAAACAAATCCAAAAACAAAACAAAACAAAATTAAAAAACAAAATATATAGATTTAGAAGCACCGACAGAAGAAGACATAGGAAGAGAATATGAATGCCTCCGGAAAGGGGAAGAAGAAAACGAGAATTAGATCGAAACGGCAATGGAAGTCTTCGCTTGCTTGCGCAGCACAGGAAAACAAATGAAATAACAATTCGGGAAAAAAAAATTAACCTTCATCATTACATCACACGAGTTCGCAGCCATATTTAATGCTTCTCACTGACGCAATCATCTCTTGAAACCAGCAGAAATTTCGGAACAGAACGCAAAATACGGAAGCGCTCCGTAATAATCTCTCCCCCAACAACAACAACAAAAAAAAGTGGGAAAAAAAAGGAGTAAAATCAAACTCACCGGCGACAATGCAATGCAGCTTAGCTTCAGACTGATATGTACAGAAACGGAGATCGAGAGAGAATTAAGGAGTGCGAAGTTTGATGGGTTTAGATCTAATCAGATTGCGTTTGTCGATTGAGTTGTGGAGATAGAGAGAGAGTGGCGCGCTCGTTAGTTCCGCCGGTGGGGGGTTTTAGAGAGAGAAAGCGCGGCGGAGGACGGAGGAGGAGTGGTGGTGGAGGGACGGCAATGGGGAGTGGTGCGGGAGGTTGAGAAAGCATTGATATTCGGCGTTAGGTGGCATTTAAAAAGGCAAGACGTTGGAAAGCTCCAAAGCATTTGCTTTTATACGGAGTAATTTGTTTCGGTAATTTTTTTCGATTCAATTTTTTACTTTTAAGTTTTCTAAACACATACTAATCCCTATGAAAATAACAAGCTATTCAATTTTTTTAGTTTTATTCATTCGATATATTTTTTCACTCATAACCAAGTCAGCTTTCATGTGAATTTTGGGAAATAATCTTTTTACAACTCAAGTCAAATGATAAGTTTAATGATTCGAGTACTTGGAAATACTTCAAAGTGTAGAGGTTAATTAGGGTGTGGATTTGTGAGAAGACAAAATAAAAGGTAAAAACCACTTTAATTTCAAAAGAAGTATTATAAAGAAAAAATTTCTTACATAGATATTAATTTTAACTAAAATACCAAAATAGAAGTGGCATAGTACTTAATTTTAATTTTCCAAATAAGATTGTGATTACTCATTACAGTGTGATTGTTGATCACTGGCCGATAGTGGTCAATGATGGCGCATAGCAATCACATGATAGCAGGCGATGGAGCTCCAGCGACCTCATAGCGACCAACGACGACACACCGGTGACCCACAACAGCAGGTGATTACACTCTAGCAACGCACTGTGGCGACAGATGACAATTTGGCTTGTGATAGTGTGATAGTTTCTTTTTATGATGACATTTGTTTAAGTCTTAACAAACTAACACCCCTATTTAAATCCAACTTCCCATTTAAATCATCTCGTGATTCGTCCATAAGGATGATGTCGTTGGCAAAAAGCATACATCATAGTACGGATTCTTGGATACGTTCGGTAAGAACTTTCAAATCTCTATTAAAATGTACTCTCTCTGGTCCAAATTATTTACAACACTTCGAATAACATATAAAATATCATCTCTTTTAAAAATACTTTATTTACAAATTGATAGAGAAATAAAGAGTAAACATTATACCGTTCAAAAGTACATCAAAAACCTTACAAATAAGATGCGACAAAAATATTTTATTTTATTAAATAATCAATCAAAATGAGTAAGTAAACAAAAATTATCAAAAGGCCGTAGGAGTAATAATTGTGTCATTCTTCTTAGGACGGGAGGGGTATTTAAAAATTAGAGTCATGATTTAGTTTGACCTGAAACGTATTTTCTCTGTGCCTAAAAGAATTGTCTTCTTTCCTCATCGTGTAAAATCATGTGACTTTTAAAATGATTTTATTTACGAATTGGTAAAGAAATAAAAAATTAAAATTTAACAATTAACATTTTAAAAATATATCAATATTATACAAAACAAAATGTGACAAAAATATTTTATTTTATCAAATGATCAATGAAAAACAAATAAACAAAAATTGTAAAACTAAAATCGTAGGCAGTCATTCTTTTAGGTGCCGAAGAAATATTTAAAAGTGAAATTTTATAGTCGGATTACTCGGATATGCCGTGGAAACTGGGAAATGAAAAAAAAAAGAAATAGAGAGAGATCCGTATAACTATAAACTAAGAGGGGGGTGGTGAAAAGACAGAAATGGGGCTGGGAAATGGGAGTAATAACGGTCGCACGCTTGAGGGAGAAGCTGGACGCGCAAAGGTGGACCACACCGGCACTAATGGACCGTCCACTCAGTCCAGCTCATGGTTGTCCACTCCACTCACTCACTCCCTTTACCAATGGAGGGAGACATATTTGTACTCTAATTTACTCCTCCCCCGTGACCATTTTTGGTGCTCAATTTGTGCCCTAATACTCTCTCATTCATTCACCACAATTTCCTCCCCCCCTTTCTTTGGGTGAACTTTTACTCCCTACCATGGATCACATTTCTATTTTGATTTTGTTTGGGAAAAACGTTAGCCTTTTGGATTAATTTTTAATGGTTTAAATTAATTCTGAAAATGTTGACGCTATAGGTTACCTTCGGACAGCCTTTTCAAAATGCTAACGCAAATCTCTTGATGGTGTAAATTACTTGACCGGTCAAACTATACTAGACCGGGTCTAGAATAGTTCGTTTGATTTGGTAAAGTAAGAAAGGTAAAAACACGCAAATTGACCGGTTGGACTCTAGCTGGAACACCTGTAGCCCGATTTATATTATAACGGAGAATGCACGGGTGCTTTTACAAGGGAGTTTAGAGAGAGTGAATTCGGATCCCCGCTTTCTGAGATTTAAATGACTATTTATACTAGGCTAAGGGGACAGGACCACGTGCGCCCACGTGGAGGCATGTTGCTGATGTGGTGCGAGGTGACTGGTTTCGTCCTCAAGCTGCCTTGTCGCCTTGTGAATGAGATCATTCCCTTTGTCGAGTAGTGCCTTGGATGGATTCTTCAGCATCTCCAGTTGTCCTCTACTGACACGAGTCGCTACACGCCAAGCCCTCACAGATCCTCTTCTGCCGACTCTTTCCAACCCCAGAAACTACACCGGGTAATCTCCGAGGGATGAATTTATCGAAGTCTGGAATAAATAGGACGACAACGTAGTTTGACCGGTATATTTTTTTGTGAAATACACCGGTCACATTTTGGCCGATGATATGTCATTTTGCTGACGATTTAAGTCTTCCTTCCAAAACTCTCGAGATTGACCGGTCAACTATTTGGCCTTCTTCTTTGACCGGTCGTGGGTGGAATACACTCATCATCTCTGATGCTGATATCAAACGGAGTCTTTCTAAGTTAAATTTTGGATTATGTCTTAAATTGATCCTCGAGTATATTACTCCGTCCATCCTAAAATATTCTCCCCTCTTCTATTTACGATGTTTGACATACTTTATTTTTAATTCAATTTATTTGACTGTAGGTGTAAAGTTAAAAAAATAAATAATTATATTTAAAAACTAAATCAAAAGTTTTACTATTAAAATAATTATATTCAAATATTTATATAGTACTAAAGTATAGTAAGTTTCCAATATAGTATCACACACTATAAATGCAGGGAAGGAGTATGTTTTAATTAATGGAGGGACGGAGTATGTTTTAATTTCTAAATGCAGTACTATTTTTAAATGTCCATTGGACATTGTTCAAGTATATGTTCACTTTCATTGGACATTGTTCAAAGCCAATGTCCACTGCTGTTGGACATTGTTCCTTCACTCTAGACATTATTCAAGTACTATATATGGAATAGAAAAATTAGGTACTACATTGAGAAAAGATACTCCCTATATATTTTAATACTATTTAATACAAATTTTAGTTTAAATTTGTACTCCATATGAATTTTGCCACACTTTCTTTTTTGTTTTTTTGAGTGGTAACCTCACATATTTGTCCCTCTAGGAAAAAAGAATGAGTCTCATCCCCGACGAATCTCTCAGACCCGGTCGGACAATCACTGAGAAAAGGTTAAATAGACTTTAATCGCAAATTGGTAGCAAAGAGTGAAGTCTGCACTAGTACTTATAGAGACCTTATATTTCGCATAGCTCCTTGCGAAAAGATGACACGTCAAGAAATGCACAACAATTATTTTATTTGAAATCAATTTTGGAAAATGCTAAAACCCCCCACCCTTGCTACCACCCATGCTCCCCAAATATAAACATGTGGTAGGGAGGCAAGAAAATTAAAATTAGAGGGTGGGTGGAAAATAGATAGAGATAAATATGTGATAGAGAAATAGGTGGAGGCAAGGTTGGTAGCAAGGGTGGAGTGTGTAGCATGGTCCTTCAATTTTTACTATACTTCTATTCAAATTAATATACTCCCCGTGACATAAAGATTGTACGGTTTGATTTTTTTTATCAAAATGTGTACCACCATAAAACAACATGTGTAGATGCATGTTAGTCAGCGTTTTGTTCAACTTGTTTTTTTTGTTTATTCCTTTTCTTATTATAATCAGATCAAATAAGAATTGAAATAACTTTAATTATAATTGTAACTAGTTCAAATTAAATCACGCCAGACCAGATTAGATCAAATCTAAACAGATCAGGTCAGATACGATTATTTGATGACACTAATCAAAGTATGCCCTCAAATCTCCTTCATACCCTTCACTCCGTATTTACTGCAGTAACATATTTCCAAGAATTATAAAGTGAATTGACTTTATGTTACTCCCTCCGTCTTAAAACTTTCTTCCCAGTTTGACTTTTCCCCATTTTTAATTTTTGGTTTTGACTTTAAATTTTACCCTCCTTAAAAAATATTTTTTGCAAATTTTTTTTACAATCATTCAAAATATAGAGTTAGAAGATAATTGGTGTAAATACACGACGGTATTAATGTCATTTGTTATCTTTTTTTCTAATGGGAAGGTAGTTTTAGGACTGAGAAAAAAGAAAAATGGGAAGAAAGTTTTAGGACAGAGAGAGTATTAAATGTGAAATCTATGTTTTTTTACTCAACGAGAAATCTCAGGTTTTTTTTTACAGCGAAAAACTTCAGGTTATTTTGTATGGTAGATCTATCAAGGCTCAAACTTGCGTTTTAATAGTTGCATTAAATAACTTTGCATAAAATAGAAAGTAGGGAAATTTATGAGCAAGAACTCTGTTTTCAATAGTTCTGGTGCTAGAATTCACTACCCACGTGTACCTCTAATATTATTATCTCTCTCACACACAAAACTTAGTCTTTTGTTTTTTTGAGTTTAAAATTTTAAAAAATAAAAGTTACAAAATTTGAAACGATTATATTGAATAATAATCCAAATTTGATTTGTTTTGGAAATTAATTTTGTACTCCCTCCCTCCGTCCTATAAAACATTTATTATTTTGATTTTTAAGAGATTTAAGAGTAGTGTATTTTAGTGTTAACTTTTTAAAAATGTCATTTGATGTTATATTTAAAAATATATGTGATGGATAGATTAGTAGTGAAAAAAAGTGTGATGTGACAGGTAGGTTAAGAATTACTAGTTAGGAATAAAAATGACTTTTTAATAGAAGTGACAAAATTTTTTGTGTGATATTATAATGTAAAACATACTCCCTCTGTCCCTAAATAAATTTCCCCTTTTGTTTTTTCTTTGTCCCCAAATAAA